AACACTGTGATGTTAGTAAACACTATGTTTAACACTGTGATGTTAGTAAACACTATGTTTAACACTGTGATGTTAGTAAACACTATGTTTAACACTGTGATGTTAGTAAACACTATGTTTAACACACTGTGATGTTAGTAAACACTATGTTTAACACACTGTGATGTTAGTAAACACTATGTTTAACACACTGTGATGTTAGTAAACACTGTTTAACACACTGTGATGTAAGTGAACACTATGTTTAACAAACTGTGATGTAAGTAAACACTATATTTAACACACTGTGATGTAAGTAAACACTATATTTAACACACGGTGATGTTAGTAAACACTATGTTTAACGCACTGTGATGTTAGTAAACACTATGTTTAACACACTGTGATGTTATATTTAACAGTAATTGAATAAATCGACTCTTCTATAAAACTTACGTTAAACGGGGCTTCAGAGGTCTGGTAGACTGTATGGTCAGACCCAAGGGCTAACTGGCACTGTCGTGTCAAAGAATACTGTTGGCCAGGTAGGCCATTAGCTTCGTGACTAAGGCCTGCAGAAGGTGGAGAGGAATCGTCCTTGAGGCAGTTTCCCCAGCCTTGCCTGTCAAGAATCAATCAACCACCTCACAAAGGTAAGTTAGGATATTCTATTAGTGTCTACATTCAATTTAAAGTAGTTAACTTTCTGACACAAGTTGAAATCATTTTATGACTACAAATAAACACGATATTTACCCTAGGAACGTCTTCATGTAAGTGTTACTACACGTCGACCACTTCACCTTTCCAGCTCCAGTTTTGGGTGACATTAGGTACTGGTCTTTATTACACGAATTGCCGTCGCCATCATGTTGAACACCCAGACTACAGCACAACAAAAATCAAGATATAAACTGGTATATAGTTTCTGAAAGCTGTTAACAAATATTTCCCGCGCTTTGCGACTGCAGATCATACGTTATAAGATGGTGGACTTGTCGCGGAAGAACACTAATACAAGAAACTTCTAAATTACCACCATTATTCTCAAGTGCATGCATTGTCTAATTTTCTCTCTTGTTTTAATCTATTTACAAATTTTATATACCGATGTCAATGAAATATGAAAATCAATTAAAATATGAGCATAACTCATAAAAAACATAATTAATTTTGGAGGAACGAGGACATTTTTGATTTTATTCAAACGTGGTAACAGATCTTTTATTATGAATACCTATTATTTCCGGACAGAAACGAAAGCGTTTCCTGTTTTAGCCTACCTGTGTCCCATTTCGTGAGCAATCACAAAGCCAGCTTCAAATGTTCCACCCTCGCTGATAGAACACGAGTATTCACTGCGACACATGCCGTTCACCCAAGCTAAGCCTATGAAAGCATGTAGACAAAACAACTTATTAGAGGCGACGACACAGATTCTAAAAACACGTGGACAAAAGCAACATAGTAGAGGCAACGACGACACAGATTCTAAAAACACGTGGACAAAAGCAACATAGTAGAGGCAACGACGACACAGATTCTAAAAACACGTGGACAAAAGCAAGATAACAGAGGCAACAACGACACAGATTCTAAAAACACGTGGACAAAAGCAACATAATAGAGGCAACAACGACACAGATTCTAAAAACACGTGGACAAAAGCAACATAACAGAGGCAACAACGACACAGATTCTAAAAACACGTGGACAAAAGCAACATAATAGAGGCAACGACGACACAGATTCTAAAAACACGTGGACAAAAGCAACATAATAGAGGCAACGACGACACAGATTCTAAAAACACGTGGACAAAAGCAACATAATAGAGGCAGTGACAACACAGTTTCTAAATTGGCAATGTTGGTCACTCTCAACACAAAAATCTGAATTCTCAATTCCTGTGTTGAGAGAGGAAACATTTTTTCTTGCCCAACTTGTACACCGAAGAATCCAAAATAATCAACAGTATTATTTGTCCTTTGAAACTTGTATCACTAGATAGTATTTCTTGTGAATAAATACACGACAAACACCACGTAATCATCATAAGTTTTAAGATTTGTATTTTTATTCCAAGTTTTAACATAAAAGTCTGTGTTAAAAAATGTAAACATAAACAGTACAAAAAACAATAATAGGCGACAGAGCAGCAGTAATAATAACATTCCATCTAACAAAATGCAATGTCTTAATTATGAAATAAACATATTATTAGAGCGATACAATAGAGCGACGTGGAACATCCCAAAGATAATTACAGATTGACGTAAAACATTCGAAACAGAGCAGCGGGTCGACGTGAAACACCCAAAACAGAGCAGCAGATCGACGTGGAACACCCAAAACAGAGCAATAGATCGACGTGTAACATCCAAATCAGAGCAGCAGATCAATGTGGAACACCCAAAACAGAGCAATAGATCGACGTGTAACATCCAAATCAGAGCAGCAGATCAATGTGGAACATCCAAATCAGAGCAAAAGATCGACGTGGAACACCAAAAACAGAGTAGTAGATCGACGTGGAACATCCAAAACAGAGCAGAAGATCGACCTGGAACATCCAAATCAGAGCAAAAGATCGACCTGGAACATCCAAATCAGAGCAAAAGATCGATGTGGAACACCAAAAACAGAGTAGTAGATCGACGTGGAACATCCAAAACAGAGCAGAAGATCGACG